CACAAACCACCACCACAATCACCACTACTAACAAACAGGAAACATAACCGTATTAGACCACAACAAGACACACGTCTAAAGAAAATATTTATTCGTAAGCAGAGATTAAGGACTGCTTATAGGATTTTTTTTAAGTGTTTACGGAAAATTTTGTTTTTAGGTCGATTCAGCCATACTTTGGGCCATAATATGGAATAGATTGGCGTCTTAGCTCAGTTGAGTAATTATTGTTAATCATGTAATTTGTATTTTGGGAAAATCTAGTCGGATAATTATTTTGAGGCTTCTGTAAAAAGGTTTTTTAAACGATATGGAATAGAATTTTTAGAAAGACGAAACAACTTGGAGCTTATTATGGTCATAGATATTAAGAATGTTGTATTTTTTAAAGATAGCTTTAGTATGAGATCTGAAGGAAGTTCCGGCACAAATCCGGAGAGCCCGCTTTTGAAGACGAAATATTTGATCTAATTTAGTTGATTGAGTACTGGTCCAAGGACATAGGTACTCAAAATTGTCGATGTTAATTGCCCAAGCAATATTGCAATATGAGAGATATCGTAAAACAATAGTATTATATAAAGCAATAAGAATATTGGAAGGAAAATAAAGTTTTAGTTTGCTCATCATACCTATGTTACGTGATAATTACTTACTTGATTAATATGGGGTTTCCAATCAAGATTGGAATCGATTGTGATTCCTAAGACAAAAACATTGTAGTTCATCCCAAAGACAACATAGAAAAGGAAAACACGTGTGGGGTTGTCTATGAGATTGGATGTAAAAATTGTGACAAAATTTATATTGGCGAAACGGGCAGGGCACTAAAAACTAGAACAAAAGAACACATGAAAGATGTTGAGGGACATAACGTTGGAGTAGGCCTAAGAACAAGGGCTGGCAAAAAATCCTCATCTACACAATTACACAAATCGGCTATAACGGATCATATGACGCTAGAAAATCACATACCAGACTGGGAGAACATCAATATCCTACACAAAGAACAAGGGTGGCTAAAACGGAAAATTAAAGAATCAATATGTATTAGGAGAACTAACGCTACAATGAATAGAGACGAAGGCGCACATCGCCTCTCACACCTATATGATCAACTACTAAAGACGGCTGGAGGGCCCGCAACCAACGAGCATCGGCGGAAAGCGATTTTTTTCCGTACGAAACATTTGCATGAAACTTCACTCGGGCCATTTCGGGTTGACTCGAGTGAGTACGATACGAGGAGCAAGAGCAGACACTTCGCAATGTCGTGACGCTCGAGTTTTACAATTATTACATCTAGATGTGTATAAGTACCTCCTGTTATAAAGTGTAGATAGGTACAGTTATACCAAAGGCTAGAGAGAAAGAGGATAAACTATAGGCCTAACTACAGGCTGAGGTCTTACCTAGGCCCCTCCTTAAACTAGGCCTAGGGTCACAAAAGACACAAAAGTCACGCTTCACATACTGACATGGACTGCAATTTTAGGGGAAAAAATGGGACAAAATTGAAGCATGAAATGAAAAATAGAGCGCATAAGAGAAATATTATTAAATAAATACTTACCATTCCGGCGTTATTGAACTTGTCCAAACTATCATTGTAATGTAATTAATGTTTAAAAAAAAAAATAATAATAATAATTTCAGCATTAATTACCTTTGGCCTAAGCCTTGTAATGAAGAACATACAGATACTGTACTATTTACTAGGCCTATATCGCCGGCGGAAACCCTTCACAGATTCTGACGAAGCCTGACTGATAGCCAGCCGGAACTGTCAACAAAAAACAGTGAGTAATATTTGATTTATCTCAAGGAATTATCATATTTATGGTTAGATAAATAGCTTTTAATAAGTTGAAGGGGAATACCCCTTATACCATAGTTATTAAGTTTACGCAGAAGAATATTATGATCTTATAGTGTCAAAGGCTTTTGATAAGTCTAGGAAAACACCGATTGTATAGTTCTGTTTAGAGAGGGCGCTTGTTATCTGTTCATAAATATCAATTAATGCAAATTCAGTAGAGTAACTTTTTCTGTAACCATACTGACCGTTAAATAAGACATCATGTTTGTTTAAAAAATCTATTAGCCTGTTATAAATAATACGTTCTAAGACTTTTGATAAACAGGGAAGTAAGGAAATTGGTCTATAATTTTTGAATTTATGAGGAGCATCTTTCTTTAAAACAGGGATTACCTTTGCAAACTTTAAGTGATCTGGAAAAACTCCATTAATCAGGGATATATTAAAAATATGGGTCAAAGGTTTTACAATATATGGGGAAATAGATTTTATAACTTTGCTTAGATATCCGTCAACTCCTGTACTCTTCTTTTCATTTAGTTTGGAGATTAGATCGACCACCTCGTCTTCAGAAACTGGAGGAAGGAAAAAGGAAATTTTGTATAGGTTGGGGTAGGAATGAAGAATATTTCAGATTAAAATCGGGAATCTTTATACTTCTTGCTAAATTTGGACCAATGTTAACAAAATAATCATTAAAATGAGATGCAATGCTTAAAGGATCAGTAATTTTGTCTTCATTGTGAATAAAATATGACGGCGATGGATTATTTTTGGTTTTACCCAGTACTTTGTTTATTACTTGCCAGGTTTTTTGTATATTAAATTTATATAATTTAAATTTTTCTATGCAATACTTTTTTTTAAGTCTTTAATAACTTAGTAAGTTTATTCCTGTAGTTAATATAATTAATTTTGTCTTTGTCTTTTTTTGTTTTTTAGATATGTTTTATAAAGTTTATTTCTTGTATCAATTGATTTAATTAAGCCGTCAGTAATCCAAGGTTTTTGTTCTTTACGATAATTCCGTTTACAGCGATGTTTCTTGTGTAAAAATGATTAAATTTTGAATTAAATACATTGTAGACTCGGGTTGGATCATCATTGATATTATGAACATCATCCCAGTTGAGATTAGAAAGATCGTTTTAGTGTAGTCAAATTATTATTCGTAATTTTTGTGATATATATATATATATATATATATATATAATCGGAATTTTTATTTATAGCTGGTTTAGATATTTGGAATCTATTATTATGTATTAAGAAAAAATATGGGATAATGATCAGATATATCGGACACTAAAATACCAGGGGAGATTTTGTCTAAAATGTTATTTGTAAATACGTTATCAATAAGTGTAGCTGTTTTTGTTGTTATTCGCGTGGATTTCGTTGCTAGAGGATAAACATTTGAGTTAAACATTATATTAATAAATTCTGATATTTGATTGTCTGTGCAGTTTAAGAGGTTAATATTGAAGTCTCCAGCGAGATACGCAATCTTATTTTCCCTATTAATAATATGAAGAATTTGAGAGACGTTACTACTAAATAAGTTGATGGGGAATTCTCCTAAACGATATATAGCTCCGAGAATTATGTTTTTAGGTTGATAATTTATTTCTAAAAAGATACTTTATATTTTCATTGCGGATTTTTTGGGCTCAGTACGGACTCCAAAAGTATGCATTTTCTTTTAGTTTTATAGCGTATGCGGATTTTATAAGTCCGCAATGACGATATAACGTGTTTAGCCACACCTCCACCTTTTCTCTGATTTCTAGAATTATGAATAAGATTATAACCAGGAATATGATAAAAAGAATAATTTGTTGAGTTTTCATTAAAGAAAGTTTCTGTAAAACATAAAGCTGAAAATTTGTGCTTAAGAAGATCCAAGTAGTCATTTACTTCGTCAAAGTGTTTTACTAAACTTCTGGTATTTAAATTGAATATGCTAAATGAGTAATCTTCATTTGAATAATTCTGATTAAAGGAGTCAATGAAATTGTAGTTACATGCGTAATTATTATCTGGAAAAAGGAAATTATTGTTTGAATTAGAATGCTCAAGATCAATATCAAATGGATTGAAACACAAATCATTTAACTTAACGAGGTCTACCTGGTCCCCGAAAAAACTTTTATTTGATATAAAAATTCATTGTCCTTATAATAATGGTTTAAAGGAAACACACATGATGGACATAATATGTTCTCAGAAGAAGTTATGTTGCATATAAAGCATGACATAATTTATCTAATACAATAATTAAATTAAACAAAAAATTTAAAACAATTATTAAATATAAGATAAGATACATAAGATAATAAATATTATTTTTGAAAACAGTAATACCGTTTATGTTCAGTAAATGTTAACGGGCAAATATTACTTCGAGACTCACAAGATATAAGCCTATGGTCTTATAATAGTATTTAGAGACAGGGAGGCATGAAAAACAAGGAAGGGTATTGTGACATGCTTCATGGAAGAAAAGCAATTTTTTTTAAAGGTGAAACAGGACATTATTCTCTCACAATAAAATATTAAAGAGCAAGTTATAAGTTCACCTATTTGGCAGCAAATAATTACATAATGATTGAACTGTGCGTACAGGTGAATAATTAAAATACCGTGACTTACGGAATGTGCACATTTTACTAATGATGCCAATAAAAAGTACTTTTCATCATAACAGATAAACAGAATAACGATTTCTGGAACTTAGTAAAAAAATTAACATCATGTTCTATAATATGAAAAAAAATATATAACGTTTTATTTTAAAGTTCCGAACATAAGTCCTGGACCTATAGTTTCCTAATATCGTCCAAGGATATAATTCTTTTCATATTTTCTTTGCCGTTTTGCTCACGAATCGCTGCGTAGATACGACCATCGATTGACCACGAAGCTGTAACACATTCCTTCTTTTTGAGTGCAATTATTAAGTCTCGTCGATATCTTGTGAGATCTTCCTGGATTGATCTACGAGTACCTTTTAGTTTTTTTCTAGCCTTAATAATTTCATTGCGTTTGTGATAGCGGCAAAACTTCACGATAATGGGCCTTGCTTTGCCTGCCATCTGCTTTCCAATACGGTGAGATCTATCAATGTCGTCTAGAGTAAGATTGATATCCAAATCAGAGTTAACCAATTTAATGATGACACTATCCGTATTCTCAGAGGTCTGTCCTTCAATGCCGAAAAAACGAAGACAATTTCTCCGGCTATATAGTTCTAGTTCGTCCATCGACGTTTCAATATCGGTAAGCCTATCAATAATGCTGTCTTCACTCACTTGTAGTTTATTAACTTGGACGGTGAGTGAATGGATGTCATCCCGCTATTGGAGTTATTTGCTTACTAATAAGAACGCCAAGTTGTTTCAATACAGCTGGGCTTGCAAATGCCTCTTCAATATGGCTTTTTAAAACATTTTTAAAATCCACGCTAGACAACAATTCGACTACCACATGTTTTGCGATAGCCTGTTGTTGTTTTGCAATAGCCTGTTGATCTTGTGTCTGGCTTCTGGTATGGCTCATTATTGAAGGGAAACAAAAATTCTAATTTCCTAATGGATTGTAATACCTATGAGAATACAATATTAGTTGAGCCAACGAAGAAATACCCATAAAAGGTTAGCACATAATTGTCCGATTAAAAATCACAATCGGAGAGACGATCAATGTACGTGTGCTCTCGTTGACTTCTAAGAAACTTTTAGATATTAATGTTGTCGATTTCCGTTGAAAATTCATTGGCGGAGAGGTCAGGTGCTCTGTATACTATTCCTATTACTGTATGATGTTTTTATTTTTACTAGGAATTTATAAATAAACTTTCACAGATATTATTTTCGGGTTTGATGTCGTTCTTTCAATAGCGTTCATATGTTCATGCATATAGATGCCAACACTAACCCCTTTTATATTTTGGCTATTTACATGAGGGAAATCATAGTTTTGCAGGTCAGGTAAGTGTGAATTTTCGTTTAACCATGTATCTGTAATTCCAATGACAGAAACTGTATGTTTTAATAAATTGAGATTTTTTTTCTTCAATATGTTTATTTATATTACGTGCATTTATATAAGTCGTTTGTTATTCTGCTGTGAGTACTCGCTATTGTACTTTTTGACATCAAAATATTACATTTGTTTAAAGTATCAAGTAATCGGTGCGACGCCTTCTGCTTGTTGTCGATGGCAGGATGAGCGAATTGGAAATTGTCCGTTGCCCGCGCCTTGTCGCGTTGCGGTCGTCATGGAATCGCGCCGGCCGACGAACATCGGCCGCTTGTGTGTCATATTTTTCAATAAAAACATGGAGGTATTGAGACCACCCTTTAACATTTTCTTGTCTTGCAGTACTGTAGCCCTTAGTGGATAAACTAAACTAACAGCAATAAGAGGGTCGGAATGGCTAATAAATAAACAATGTAAAACCAGGGAACAGTTAAAATAATTATTAATTACGATAATGACCCTGAGAAGGCTTAACCAACTGTATATGAAAGTATTGACCTAATGGATAGTTCCACGAGTAATTGATCGGATGTCCTTTGACCGAGAGGTATCGATTATTATTATTTTTGGTCCGAATCTCAATTCGTTGTGTATTCATTATGTTTGATGACGCGTAACACGTAATACATGTATAATTGAACACTGCGATACCACCGAAGAAGAGAATATTCTTATAATTATTGAACACGACTTTCGAGCAAACGTCAACAATGCATCAACAAAGATATCTGAATTTCCGTACTATATTTTGTTTCCTAATTTGCGCTGTCGTTCTTTTGATGGTGTTACAGAAATGTTTACTAATTCCAGTGAACATATTTGATGTGAGTTAAAAACAATTAAATCTTAAGGTTAGAAAGAATTGAAAATTAAGTTGTTTTTTTTTTGTTTTGTTTTTTTTGTTTTTTTACATTTTTCTTTGGATTTAGAAATTAGGCCAAGTCGCTTTGTGTACACGGTTAATACGGTATCTATTACTGGATCAACTCTTATTATCATTTTGAACTTAATTAAGGTACCTTATCATTTGTTTTATTTATAAATTAATGAAATCAATTTATGATAATCGGTAAATATACGCAATTCGCAATTGTTAATGTGTTTAAACAAATGTAACACATTTTCACATTTTCTATGTAATAGATTTTGATATCTTTTTAAATATTTTATATGTTTATCTTGTATATAGTATTTATTTTATGTGAAACTGGGTGAGTGGGAAACACTGACATTAGTCACAGTGATTAAGTTCGCTTTAGTGTTTCCATCCAGCTCACCCAGTTGATTTTATGTGTTTTGTCTGTTTTAATTGGAAATAAAAGAATAAGAATAAGAATACAGACAGTACCAATCGCGGCGGTAGTACTTTTTGTCCGCCTTTGCTTGCGAGCATCATCGGGTTCCACCGTCCACCACCAGCTGGTTATTAAATGGTTTGTAAATCATTTTAGGAATTGCTAATTATATATTTGTAGTTGAATTGATAATTGAATGAACTGCAAATACTCGAATTTAATTGATGTTAATGTAATGAATAATGATATTTACGTCTGGGATCTAAAAAAAATTTAATGACCCTCCAATGTACACCCTCGACTGATTCGTCGCCAGCACATAATACTATCTTCCTTGTAACTTGGTTAAATTTTTTCGAATGTTTCATTCAAATCATTTGATCCGTTTTCGAAATAATGTGGTCTGGGACGTTTTCCTTTCAATGGTCCTCACTACACCCTACCCCGGATCAGCGAACAGTGAAATTACACTGTTCCCTGCCCGGATCGTCACTAAAATTTAATAATTTCTTTACTCGACCTTGACAAACTGTTATACAAGGTTTAAAGTATACCCATTGATTTTTTTTTAAGAGATAGGTCTGGGTCCTCAAACATTAAAATAACCCTCCCATTTACAACCTTGACTGATTCATCTCCAGCACACAATAATTCTTCCCTGTAACTTGGTTAAACTTTTTCCGAAAGTTCCATTCAGATCAGTTGATCCGTTTTCGAAATATGTGGTCTGGGACGTTTTCCTTTAAATGGTCCTCAGATCCACACCATACTGGAGATCGCCACAAAAATTTAATTATTTTTTACAAGACCTTTACAAAGCATTACAGGAATGTTTCATTTAGACCCATTGTTTTTTTTAAAGAGATATTTAGGTCTGGGTCCTGAAAAATTGAAAAGACCCTCCAATTTACACCCTTCACTGGATCGCCACTAACGCATAAAAACGTCTTCCTTGATTAAACTTTTCATTCACATCAACTGACCGGTTTTTGGAATATCCGGTGTTGACTGTTTGACCTTAAATCACTTTAATTGGTCCTCACACGCACACCCCACCATAGATTGACACTGTTGAGGAGGAACATCCTTGATATATATGGCCTATGTTTCGGCAAAGCACGGAAAAATTCGAAGAATGGGAAGCGACCAAAGTGACGGCCAGAGAAAAGCAGTGCAAATGGATAGAAAAAATATAGGCAAGAAAAAAAGGAAAAAAATAAGAACAAAAACAATGACTTTTCCCAGTACTGCTGGGAAAACCAATTATAATTATAATCACTCAATTCATAAGTTTCATCAATATAATATATATCAGTAACCGATGCAGTGATTAATGTAATGGGTCGCACATAAAATTGGATTTGTGCACTGCTTTTATGCAGCTTTATGCTCAGTTTTGCTACTACTACTTTTTTTACTGATGATCGGCATCAGACCGTTAAAGAGGGTTTAGCATAAATTATCTTCGGACCGAATTTTGCCCACCCGTCGCCTATAACCGAAAGTTCCACCGATTAATCTCAGATAAGATAGTATAATACATACTCCAATTATCGAAATGCACGCCATCGTATCGGGATTCAATATTGAATCCCGTTGAATCCCGACACGATGGCGTGCATTTTGATACTAGGAGTATGTATTATACTATCTTATCTGAGATTAATCAGTGGACCTTTCGGTTACTATACTATCTTGTCGCCTATAACGTGTCGTTATTTATTTGCTTAACATAACATACATATGCAAATTGTACTTCTGCTGCTGTATTGCCACAAAAAATAACTAACGTGCGAAAGGGAAAAAAATAAATATAAAACTTTAAAAATTGTATTTATGCTACAGATAAAAAAGAAATAATGTTCAGTTATTTAAAGACGTTTTACAACAAAAATCATTAAATTGCGGCAAGAAATTTAATGGGTATAAGTACAATTTTCTTGGCCGTGGAAATTGTTCCGACAAACTTAAGTTAATCCGAGGATGTTGATTGGTGGAGCTTCCTAGACCCTAACCGTAAACATGGAGGAATTAGTTTTCCTCCATGTCAGTCTTGCTTACAGTCTTGCTTTCGTAATGCACAACGAACGGCATGTTGGATATATATCCATAGTGTTTCTTGGTAAGCTAATGATTAGCAAAATAATTTCAAATATATGAAAAAAAACCCATCTGTTTAGCTAAAAGATAATATCCTATCTAAATAAAATCTTGACGATAATGACAATGACAACGGCAGTGGCGACGACGTTGATGGAAGTGATGATAATATGTAGGCCCTATTTACTGAAGGATTCAGGCAATTGTCTTTATAAAATAATGTCTCCTTTGGCATCTACTTTATAGTGTCCTTTTAGAACCTGACTATAATTACATATTCCACTGTAACACTGTGTGCACACACGTAGTCCTGTCTCTTATACACATCTAGATGTGTATAAGAGACAGGCATTACAGGAATGTTTCATTTAGACCCATTGATATATATGTATGTATGTATATATATATGTATGTATATGTATATGTATATGTATATGTATATATATGTATATGTATATGCATATATTTCTCACAACATCAAAGATTAAAGTGATATATCGATTTTAAAAAGCCGGGCATAGACTGCGTAGTAGGACGAACGCGTTTCCGCTTTCCATCTTGGTGAGTGCATTGCAAGCGTCGCTTTCGTCGCGTTGCGGACTTTATGGAATCGCTCCGGCCGACGACTGTCAGGCGCGTGTGTTCACTCCATTGAAATGCCTATAAAGTATTTCCGTTAATATAATTAATCAACTCTTTTTGATTTCAGAAAAAATTTGATTATCGCAGTACTCTACCGAAAATTGCTGGATATAAGCATATTCACCATAATATCAACAATCATTCTGGCAAAAGAAAGTACGGAAATTATTCACGCATTGTACCAACGTTGACATCATCAGCACTTCATCAAAATGAATCGATCCTGAATTTAACAGACGTCTACCGGGACATTAAAAAAACCCAGCACATTACAGACCCTAAACATTGTACTTTCAGTATTGAAAATCAGCAAATCTCGTATAATATATGCGACAAGATCCACGTAATAATTCAAGCACGTGACCAGTTTAACACTAATAAGCAAATAGGAGGTGATTATTTTCGCGCCAAAATATTCTCTACAACATTAAAAGCAAGTGCGCCTACAGATGGGGAAGTAGTTGATCACAACAACGGTTCATATAGCGCATATTTTACACTGAGATGGAGTGGTTTTGTGACTATCAATGTACAACTGGTACATAGTAGTGAGGCAATTGCAGCTATGCAACGTGTACGTGAAACCAATCCGATTCGAATGACATACACTGGGATATTTCAACTCCGTAAAACAAAAAGAAAAGTACTATGCCATGTGCAACTTTCGACTGCAAATGAATTATGCAACTACACTGATAAAATAACCGGAGAGCCATGGTTTTGTATGAAACCTAAGGACTTGCCCTGCTCTGCATACTATGGACACGTGGGTAATTTAGGCTTAGCAAATAAACTGACAGCAGCAATGTTCACTCCGACTGAAAAACTCCTTTTCAGGTAATTTTTCTGAAGTTTGTTTAATGCTTTAAGAACACACAGTAAATGTTATTCTCTATTATGTCAACATATGCAATCGTTTATTTTTTGTATATGGTGTCAGTATTACATGCACTTTATTTACAAATCAAATATGTCCACATTAAAACTGTTTTTAAATCTATTTCCCCCAAATAATTAATACAGTATTGATGTTTAAAATTTTTATTAGTGTTTTATTTTCTCCTTGTTATTAGATCATATTGCACGTTCGTCATAATACAAAGTTTTAATATTCTAAACAAAGTTTGTTGTTTAACTTGTATTGTTTCATCAATTAATAACCGAAAGGTCCACTGATTAATCTCAGATAAGATAGTATAATACATACTCCAAGTATCGAAATGCACGCCATCGTATCGGGATTCAATTGAATCCCGATACGATGGCGATACGATAAGTGGACCTTTCGGTTACTGTACTATCGTGTCGCCTATAATGTGTCGTTATTTATTTGATTAACATAACATACATATGCAAATTGAAATACTTATGATATGATATATATAACATCTAGATGTATATATAAAATTAAAACGGAACAGTAGAGAAAATCAATAGAGATTCTTTAATAATATATAAATTTTAAAAGGCAAATGGGAAAAACCCATAAAACAGCAAACGGCCACATAATGCAAAACTATTTAAAATTAAAACGGAACAAGAATGACAAAATTAACTAGCATCCACTGGAAGGAATCCCAATATCTGCAGACGGATCCGTTTCGGCCTTCCAGGCCTCATCAGTGCAGCTAGGGTATAGACCGAAACTAAACGTTCGACCAGCTTAGGTAGGGCCCAAACTAGTCCCACGACCACTGACGATTACAGAGCCAAACCAAGGCAATATACACAGCCCAGGTGTGAATGCAAATAGTGGAATACAAGCTATGTGGCTCGGTTCCAGTAGATACAGAGAATATTTTGTCATTCATAACGCGTCCTACGAAATTCTTACGAGACAGCACTAGTCCGTGAATTTGTGAACAAGATCAAAGATCTAAAGATGCAATCTCTACCGTGCATCAGTGGCGGCCGGATGGATCTCAATAGAGATTCTTTAATAATATATAAATTTTAAAAGGCAAATGGGAAAAACCCATAAAACAGCAAACGGCCACATAATGCAAAAATATTTAAAATTAAAACGGAACAGTAGAGAAAATCCGATCAAGAATGACAAAATAAACTAAGCATCCACTGGAAGGAATCCCAATATCTGCAGACGGATCCGTTTCGGCCTTCCAGGCCTCATCAGTGCAGCTAGGGTATAGACATTAACCGCAACTTTATATACGCAACGTAAATGCACCTAGTTCTTATACTATTTATAGGCCTACACAGCATGAAATCGCTGATGGATTCGTGGTCGGACGTAGTGTGTATCTGACTTTCTAAACATACATACCTTCTTTATTATTTTTTAAAGTACTGACGGTGATAACACAACACAAGTAGTGTTGTATTATAAGCACGGTACCCAATATAAACCATGGCCAAGAGGGACTTCCCAATATAATAATGATAATGATAATAATAATAGATGGATTTATATAGCGCAAATAAACGAGGTCTCGCTATTCGCTCGGGACTAGAT